GAGCCATCTCCCCGGCCAGAGGATGAGAATTCTAAAGTCTTACTAAAAACAACTTTTACAAAATTCTGACACTATATTAAAAACTTAAAATATCTTTATTTATAAAACATACAATATCTAGTTCTTGGGCCAGCAAGATAGCTCAGTGGACTAAAGCGCCTGCTTAGGCAAGCTTAGACAAGCACAGGACCACATGCTGGGCCAGCCCCGCCCCCAGGGCTGTCCAAATCAGCCAGAGTCTGGGAGGGCATTACAGTGCTCCCCTGTAATCCCTTCCCAGGGGAGGCTGAAAGCAGGAGGATCACCACCAGTCCGAGCTGTGTAGTGAGACCCTATAACAATCAAATATATTACAAAGAAAAAAAGTCTAGTTCTTTATAATTAGTTGTTAAGATAAAGAGCACACGCTGTTCAAACTTTCAGAAATCCTCATTTCCACCTTGTTTCTCCTTTATTTCACTTAGATCTGGCTACATCTTCTACATCCATCCACTGTTTTTGTAGTTTATTAATTAATCACAGCTTTCTATGTGCTTATGATGGAATGCTGGCCCTCCCCCGTGCTGGGTGAGTGCTGTAATCACTGAGCAACGTATCTGCAGCCCTCTTGAGATCTGCTCAGCCTCTATTTATTTATTTATCTATTTATTTTTACCAGGAGCCAAACTCAGGACCTTGCACTTGCCAGGCAGGCGCTATGCCCCTGAGCTACATCCCTAGCTGTAGTTTCTATTTTAAAACTAGTTGAAGTCTTGGTCTCAGAATTCCTGGTACACTTCTCTAGACTTCTGGTTCTCATTTCTTTTCTCTTTGCCTTTCTTATTTCCAAACATCTTATTTATCCCACAGATTTCTGCAGGCCTAATTTTTAAGTGGATATGAGCTTCGATTTCCTCATATGTTTTCATTCAAAGAAAAAAATCAAGCTTGCAGGAAAGTTTACATGTTTTGTTAGGAATTAATTATTTAAGGGGTCAAAATTGAACATACACATAACTTCAGGATTTTTATTAACATATAAGACAACAGATGAAGGCTAATCATTTATGATCTTCCTTGAAAGGTGTTACCACAAATACCCTTTCAAACTCATTTCTCTTGTTCAAGCATTTTAAACTACAGAGATGAACAAGTTAATGTAAAAAATAAATAAGTAAACGCTTGTAATCATTAGTTTGAAATTTAGCATTTTTATATCACTTTAACTCAGAAAAATATTACATTTGTCATAGCAAAAATTTAGAAAAAGGTTTAGGTAAAATTTCTGGCTTAAATCATTTTAGAGGGTCTACTATCAGGAAATAAAGATATGTTTAAAGAAATCAAAGTATTCAGATATATATATATATATATATATATATAAAAGTCAGTAAAACTATAAAGAAACTAAACAACTTGGAATTACTTAACCATCCTGCCAGAAACAGGGAGGGAGGGGCACCTAGATACCTAGGTGAGTAGTTGAAGGAGTAGAACTTACAATGAAAAATTTCCTTATCTTAACCACCCCCCCAAAAAAAGAAAAAGAAAGACAGCATTAGGAAACTTCCACTTTCTTTGGAAACCTTCTTAAATTTGAATTGAAGTTCAATCACTTTCGCTCATCAACAGACTTAAAACAAATGGATTTGAGAACAGGAAGTCTATGATGGACAAATGTCTTGAAGCAATTCCTGAAAGAGCACAGTTTTCTCAAAGCTACCTTTCCCTCCTTGCCTCTGCCCTTCACCACTGGTCTAGCTATCTAAAGAATAGAAAAACTAGGTATATTCATCTCAATGAAAGAATTTCTAAAGAGATACCCATCCCCCCCAGAAATCTTAATTTTCCAGAATAAAAAAGTTACACAAGTATTGTTATGTTAAAAAATTAAAGGCTATAAACAGCAAACACTTTTAAATAGAATACTTGATTTTAAGTGCACCATCAACACATAAGATGGAGTTTATAATCCGTTTGAAGAAACTATGGGACTTTGTTTAAGTGACACCAGCTTAAAAAAAGAAAGAAAAAGAAAAAAGAACTGACAACCAATGGATGCTTTTACAGGTTAAATCTTGTTGAAGGTACCTTACCCCCTCTGTACACTTTGATTTATGTAAGCCCACCATTCTCTTAAATACACTCCATTAACAAGTGCTACACTGTGATCTTAGGCTTCAGGCAAGCCTTGAAACACAATCTTTCAAGAACTTCATTCATTCTCCAACCAGGTGTCCTGAGTACATCCAAGTTACTTGTTACTTATCTGAGTTCTGTGAAGTTTTATTCAAATCAATAGTGTTACTTCACAATAGCAGAGCAGCAAGAGCTCACCCTAGAAACTGATCACTTGACTGGCTGGCTGCTCAAGTTCATATTCACAGCATGAGAGAAACTTATCAGGCAATGACTGAAAAAAAAACCTTCAGGTCAAATAGAAGGAAGCAACCCACAAAGACATCTCTGCCCTGGAACTTGGCAACCAAGGTAGGTAAGTACAACTGCAGGGAAACTGTAGGTATATATTCACAGCATGAGTGAAAGGTATCAGGAGATGATACTAATTAATGACTTAAATGGAAATTAAAACAAAGCAATGCACTACTGAAAGATTCTCTATATGCCCATATGTATTCAATTATAATTTTGATATTAACTGCTCACCACATTATTAGGTCTGAAAGGACCGCTCACACCCACATATTTCTCCAAGCGAAGACAGAATTTGCACATTGATACCACCAGCTTTCAGAGAGATCCTATTAGTGTGACCCTATCTTTAATCTACAGCCATGATAAAATGTCCCAACATATACAAACTGAGCTCAAACAGTGACTAATGACCATTAATCCCCCTATCTTCAGTAATCTGCCCCTCTGGTCATTTATCACAGTGACACTTCACTTTACACACGTGAATAAACTTTAACCAGGAAGGTGAATCAACAAAAATCTCAAAGGTATCTGAAGCTGTAAATTAAACTAAGGGGAGACAGAGCAAAGAGAGACAAATATATCAGATCTTAATGTTCTTGATTTGCATCCAGGCCTGGGCAGGGGATTTGGGGAAACTACTCAATCACTCTGATATGCAAACTAAGGGGGGAAAAAAGCTGCTTTGCAGAAAAGGGAAGCAGGAAATTGGGAAAGGCTGTACCAAAGAGGTGGTTCCATCTTGCCCATCCACTATAGCTACACGCGATATCTGAGGCTGAGCTTCCAGTTTATATGTTCTTTAAAGAAATAATAATTTGGTGAATTTATTACGAAGTTCAGTTCAAAAGTTCCTTGTACCTTTCAGCCAGGAAGCACATTACACGAGCTTAAATTTCTATAGGTGTGTATTTGCTATCAATTAGCGTTTCTTTTTCCTGTTGTCTCCCATTAACTAGTTGGCTTAAGTAACACTATTGAGCAGCATAAAGCATCACCATAGCCCGCAACAGCCCCAGCTTCCAAACGATTTCATAATTATGCAAATTGAGAGACTTTAACCTATAGGCCCTGTTGCAAAATGACTTTCAGAACTATAAAAATTCCCCTAAGTTCACACGCAGTGTGTGTGTGTGTGTGTGTGTGCGCGCGCGCGCGTGCGCGCGTGTTAAGGCCTGAAACTGGATCCGTGATTGAAACCAGAGTCCACCAAAGGAAAGACACAAAAAGTTGAGTCGTGGCTCTGCTCCCCGTGGTAAGTTTCTCAGGGAGTACAAGCAGTTTTGGAGCGCAGACAGACACAGCGCGTACTCTCGCACCAGAAGGCTCCCTCGCATCCCTCCAACACTTCATATGGAGTTTTAGTACTATTTAATTAATCCTAAAAATCCTAACGCAGCCTTCTGTTTTCCCCAGCCAATGAGAATTCCCAGGCAGCTAACTGTTTTCCCTGTTACTCGCAACCGTCTGTTTTCCTTCTAAACCCAGTCAGGCAGTGGCTAGTTTATATCCTACCCCTAAGAAGGACTTATTTCCTGAAGTTTCTTCAGAATCATATTTAATTACAGACTTTGGTTACATAAAACAGCTACTAATAACCCCTTGTGCTCAGAAGAGGAGAGACTTGGAGGACCGGGTTCTGCAATCCTGGCGAGTCTCAGCCCCAGATGGCCCGCGCCCCAGCCCATCCAGCCCCTCCCTGGCCCCAGCACCCGCGCAGAGGGCGCTCAGATCCTCTCGGGGGGCCCCAGCGCGCACGCAGCCGACCACCCGCTCCTGCCCCTGGCTCGGAGGTGCGTCTGCCCAGTGCAGGGCGTGCCCCGAAGTTGGCAAAAGGCCGAGGTTTGAGGACGCTTGGGGCAGCTTGGGGGTGGGGAGAAGGCACGAGCGAACTAGGTGCCTTTGCGCCCAAAAGTTCCGCAAGGATTGAGCCCCTGCGGCCTTGGAAGGGAGAGGTCGTCAAGACGCAGTTGGAGGTTTGATTTCGAAAAGTGCCGAGGGGGCGAGCCAGGGAGACCCAGAGGGAAGAAAGAAAGACGCGGTTACCTGAGCAGAGACATATGAATCCAAAGAGGTAAAAGTGAGCAGGCTCCGCGATCATTGTCCTCGGGTGGCTCCTGCATGCAGTCTCATGCCAAGAGAAGGGAGCAGAAACGGGGTTCCCAAATGGATGAAGCCACACACCCCACACCCTCCACACAAAGGCTTAATATAAGCAACGTGTGTCAATCCGCCAGGAGAGTTTCTGGGCAGTTACTCGGCGACCTTCCCGGACGCTTGTCAATATCTTGGAGCCCTTTGCGGAGGACGAATTCCGCGGCTGGGGGTCTCCGGTCCCAGGGTCTCGGAGGAGGAGGCTCAGCCACTTCCCAGGACCATCCGGACGCACAACAAAGAGCCGGAGCGAGGCGCCGCGGAGCCTTTCCCAGGCTCCACTGTCCGGCCGAGCCGGCTGCGCGGTCCCCACACCGTGCGCGAGGGCAGGCGCGGCGGCCGCAAAGTTGGGGTGCGAGACCGGGTGGCGCAGGGCCAGAAAGTGCGTCTGCGTCTGCGAGCGAGCGCGGGGGGGGCGCGCACCGCGGCGGTCAGGGCAGCGGCGGCGGCTCGGGAGGGCCGGCTCGGGGC